CGGATCCCGGACATCGTTCTTGCCCCTCTGACGAGGGGATGGAGGGGTTCCTGGCTGTAGGTGGATGTAGTCGTAGTCGGATCCTGGGGTATATGTACACATAATGACACTTTTCGCTGACTATTCCCGATGTTGCGCAGCCCACACACACAGTGCTTGCCATTTGTATCTGTATATATACTCGTACTCGCACCTCGTACCTTTACGTCTGTGTGTGTGTGTGTGTTATCTGTTTATATAACTGCCTCTGTGTGGGTGTGGGTGTCCCTGTCTGTCCTGTGTGTCTGTCTGTGTGTGTACTTATGCCCAGAGGACCTTCAATCAAATCCGTAATCCTTATTCAGTGCGTTAATGAGCTTCACATTAATTTGTCACCCACAAGGGCTCACCTGATATTTTGTTTATGCCCCTCCCCATCTCCCCCTCCCTCCCCTCCACAGATACAGTGACAGTGCGACAGTCGAATGTTGGAATGGCAGAATGGTGAATGGTCCTTGAAATTGTTCTGACTGAATGTGGCTCCTGAATCCGCTAGGATCTCGGTATTTGCCTAATTAAAGAGGAGTTTCTTGCGAGTTTGGGATTGATAAATATTTCTGTATTTTATGGGATTTATAAGAAGATGTAAAAATATATTTAAGTGGACGAATCTATTTTTTTTTCTGATCAAATTTAATTTATTGGATATCAAAAGAAACTAAATATTTCTATATATGTATCCTTTTAATTTCCTCTTCCTTTATGTAACATTTTTGGATGAAAAAATATTTGTTACTGGAAAGAAACCTTCTGAAACACATCCTAACCTCTCCGAACTTCAAGGAATCTAACATATGATTCAAAAACGAGTATTCTTTGGTACAATAATTGTTTTAATTTATTCTTTAGCTCATTATATAGTTTAATTGATTCCAATTGATTCCATTTCCCCAAAATATGAATTTCTTTTTGTTCCTAAAATTCTCAAAGAAAACCGTCAAACTATTGTACAAGAATACGATCCTAACTTAAGTAATTATGAACACACACAAAAAAAAAAATAAATATTCAGAAAAACAAAACACAAATAAACAAATTTCATTTCATTTGTTAAGTGCACAATTTACGACATTTTGTGGCAATTATACAAAGGCAATGGAACCCCGCCAAAGATGCATGATTCATTCGCCGTACAGAGAGAGAGAGAGAACAGAGTGAGAGAACCGCTTCTCGAGGGTTCCTCTCGCTGCCTGTTTCTTGTGTCTCGGGATACTGTGTGATATATTCTTCATAATTTCTAATTTCCGGCTAAAAATAATTCTAAACATTAAGTAGAAATTATTTGAGAAACTTTTCGGGAGCTTGTTCTGGAAATTTACAACTAAAAACAAAAGCCAGAGGAGGGAAAAGGAAAGGAAGTGCATGCCTGCCTGCCTTATGCCTGCCACCCTCCGGAGTCCGGACTAACGTCGATACAAACAAATTCTCATTAATGGCCAAGAGAACGGCTGAAACGGAGCAGCAGAGCCCAGAGCTAAGCGGCATCCAGAGATAGGGCAAGGGCGGAGACGGTAGCCGGCAGGCGGAGAGAGTAACCCAGAAATGGTACCCAAAGCGAAGCCAAAGCGAAAATTTCGAGCATGTAAATGAGTCCGGGACTGGGGCTTTCGGGTTGGGGGAGTTTTTGGGTTAGAGAAGTTCCTATGCTGTCGTGGGGGGTGGGTGTGGGTTGGTGGAATACTAAATATGATTTTGACAGAAAACAACAAAACAAAATCCATAATTCAGGATAAAACATAATTCCACACAGCAACAGGAGCGTAGGAGGGGAGGGTACAGCGTCAGAAGAGAGAGAGAGCAGAGAGCAGAGAGAGAGGAGAGGTATATCCCACACAGATGCACAAGAAAACGGGCAAGGAAGCTAGACTTTGGAGAGCGAAGGTTTAGATACCCTAGATAAATGGATGGAAGCCAGTCTATGGCTTAAAAGTAGCAGAATATGATCAAGTTTGGGATTCAAAATTAAATTAAATTAAATATGTTTAATGGGATTTTATTTGGTATTTCTATTGTTTTTCTATATGATATAGTCATCAGATTTTGATTCTTGTTTATTGGGCTATGGATCTTCATATAAAACTGCATTATCCAGTGGAACTTTTGGATTCTCGAACGATTTACCATGTGATATAGTATTCGAATTTTACCAGACCATATTTATATATTTTTTGGATCTTTAATATTCCTATTTAAAAGATTTTATAGCAAGTTTCAGTTTAAAAGTTATCAAAACAACACAAAAATCTTTTTTGAGGCACATTTGAATATCAGTAATAATGATTATTAAATATTTATAATAAGTACTTTTTATGGATAGAAACTGACGAATAAACAGGGCTATATCGGTTCTAAATATATACGCAAATGTACATATTTAACAGACAAGATTTACTGCCTTACTTCCCAGTTTTCCAAACCGGTATAATGGTTTAGAAAATCACCGAAAAGAAAGGGTAATTAAAAAAAAAAAAAGGAAAAGTCTGGATTGAAAAAACAACAGCATTATGAATTACGGTACAATGGCGGGGCAAAGGCAAATGAGCAAAAGAGATGCTAAGAAGAGAGTCGGAGAGGGTGGTGTTGTATGGTGCTGTGTGTGGGTGTGAGTGAGAAGCAGTTACAGTTATTTATTAAATCCCTTTACGCATTTTCATAATAATTTCACAAAAATATTTTAAATGCGATGGCGCGACGATGGTGAAGGAGAGGGTGTGGTGGGAGTGCTGGTGGGGATTTCTGTGTGCCCGACTGGGCGACTGGCGAGGCGGCGATGTCTGCCTGCCATCGGGTGATTCATGTCATTGCCCGGCCCGGGTGTTTGTATCATTAAACTTTTATGCAAGAAGGAGGCAAAGAGTCGCAGTCGCACACACACAAACAGGGAACAGCACTCATCATAAACAGGACAAACGAGCGTGAATTTAATCCCTTTTGGCACACAAAAAATCATCTTTTTTTTTTCGCTTGCGACTAGCAAAAATAGCAACAACAACAACAATAGCAGAAAACAAAGAATAAGCAAAAACACTCGAAACAAAAAGAAATGGGAATTGGTGATAGCGGAGAAGGGGATGGGGGTGGGACAAACAATTGAAATGCCACTTTGGGGTATCGGTTTTGGTGACTGCTACGGTACAGTGCAACAACAACGACAAAAGATAGATCAGGAAATGAGAAATGAGGTATAGATCGTGCAAGGATATATATATGGATTTAGGGTATGGAAACTCAAGGTTTAATTTTTTTTAATAAGAGAGTAATTTGATCAGAGTTATGTAAAATCAGATGTATCTTCATGGCGCATTCCTAACAAGAAGGAGGGAATTTTTATTGTAAATACTAAAAAAATGTCCACATTGTTTTTCAATCATTTTTATCATAATTTTACAATCTACGAGTATTTATCAACTGTTCGATCGTATATCAAACTATCAATAACCGCTTTTGTGTGGTTTCAACGAAGCTAATTAATTGCATCACATCACTATCACATTTTTTTCGTATTCCGATATTAATTTTATCATCGAATGGTGGCACAATTATAGCTCTTTTAGTTGTAATTTTATTTTTAGCGCCTAAAGACCAATCCATTCAAGAAAATCTAATAGATTTAGTATTAGTTTTTCAACCTATTTAAACCCATAGAAGATTTCCCAACTTAGCTATGTCACATAATATTTAAATGTATTTTTTTGGACTCGAATATCATAAAACTCTGCGCATTCTTCGTAGAATTTCCAAGAAGATCAACTTTGAACAGAATTGTAGGGCACTCGGAGACGAACAGCGCAGCAGAAGCAAATGAAAAGCGCAAAAGAAGGAGACGAAAAGCGCAGTAGAAGGTGGAGTGAAAATGAAAATGACAGCACGAAAAATAATTCTAATCTGCTCATGAATATTCCTTTTACATTTTCATTTTGCAAAGAGCGAGAGCAGAGCGAGAGCAGAGCAGAGCGTAAACCATCAACAAAAAAGGACAACAAACAGAGAAAGCAAAGACAATGCCAGAGTGGGAGCAGGAGAAAGAGTGAGAAACAGTGTGACAGTGGGGTGTGGGGTGTGTGGAGGGCAGAAAGGAGTTGTGTGTTGGGGCCGCAGCGCCGCCTGATGCGTAAGCTAAAGAAATACGATGGCGTCGCGGGTACAATGGCAGGGAATACGGAGATTACGGGGAGCTGGGAATATACACAAGCTGGCAGCCGTTTGTTATTTTATTTTATTCGAGGGGGTCTGGGATACCCCTCCCTGTCCCCTGTACGTACATATACCCGTATCCGTATCCGTGTCCGGCATTTCGCTGATGGGCAGTCGTCCGTCCTTCAAGTGCCTGCAGTCGCCAAGCTTCGTCCGAGTCGTTGTCGTCGTCGTCATTCTTGGGTCCTGCCATGGCTGGGGCATCGAAATTATAAACTTGGCTGCTAAAGAAGGTTAAGTGATAAATTAACGCCACTGGCCCTGCCCCTGGCCTTGTCCCTGGGCCCCTGCCCCCTTTCCACTTTGGAACGCGAATGCTTTATGCACGAGTGGACCTTTTAGTTTATTGTTATTTTACAGAAAAAAAAAGGAGCCACCCGGCTAAAAAGGACCTCTGTTTCAATCGAATAATTACGAAAAGTGGCCCAGAAATGGCATCAACCAAAAAAGGGAGTTGGAGGCCAAGAAATCTGTTCTTTTGGAGTGACTGGGGAGTACTGACTTTAAGCGTTGATTATTTGGATAGCTGAAGAAATAAATCAGGGTTTTTTTTTGGATGATTTTATGGGAGTTTTCCATATGCCATTCGAGGTATAATAATAAAAGAATTGGTTCAAGCTGGTCCAAGAAATCAATTAAAATTCAATCAAATTCTAAAGAACTTATGAGGATTACCTGGTCCATTGCTTTAAACCAGATCTATCAGAATTTAAACCTTATTTCCGCATTATTTTTATTACATTTTAATCATCTTAGAATCCCCAGAATTTCCCTTAATAACAAAACTAAAGAAATTCCCAAAAATGAAATGTGTTTCGTGTGTTGTTGCTGTTGTTTGCCTTTTGGATTGTTTTGTGCTGCCACCATCTACTTGCTGAAGGATCCCTTTCTCGATCAATTTGTATACGAAGAGCAGCCGATTATACAAAATTATTTTGTAAACACAAATGGCTGTAGAATATTGGCAACGTCCCCTTACTGCTCTGATGTGCTTGGGCATTGGTGGCAATTGCGAAATTACTCCTGTCCGAGTGCGGGATTTGTGGAGAGCATTCACAATGAGAGTGGCAAATATCTGAAGGCGCATTTTGGCAATAGAACGGATTTGAATTGCTCCTATTATGTGGTGGAACGAGAGACGGACTTTGAGAATCGCCTGCTGTATAGCCAGAAAGTAGAAATGGTGGCTGGAAGATACTTTGAGCTAGAAATCCATGGGGATATTGTGCGGTTAGCGTGTGCCTTCAATGGTTCGTATTTCTATAATGGAGTGCACTTCTTTCTGAAGAAACCTTCAGCAAAGAGAAGACGCCGTCAGGGATTGCCCAAACTTCAATCGGCAGCCTCGCCGGACAGCCTCTCCGTGTTGATCCTGGGCCTGGATTCGGTCTCCCATTTGCATTTTCTTCGTGCCATGGTGCATACGTACGCGTTCCTGCAGAACCTGCCTCATGTGGAGTTCAGGGGCTACAATCGTGTGGGCAGCAGCTCCCTTGACAGTGTGATGCCCCTGCTAACGGGTTGGAACAGCCAAGAGATCGAAGACTACTGTTTGGATGCCACGAGGGGCCTCGATAGGTGTCCTTTCCTTTGGCAAATGTTCCAAAGCGCTGGCTACGAAACGGCCTTTGGGGAGGATAATATAGACATGGGTCTGTTTACGCTGGACAAACCGGGCTTTGAGCATCAGCCCACGGATTACTATCTGCGTCCCGCGCTGCTGGAGATGTGGCAGAAGACCAGAACGGACATACGCCATGGGGCACACTGCAACGAGGAGGATACCTATGCCATTGTCTTGAGGAATTTCCTCTATAAGCAGCTGCCTCTGCAACAGCGGAACCGCTTCTTCTCCTTTCTCTGGTGGACCCAAGGCATACACGACAGATTCCAATATGGAAGGGTATTGGATGAGCCCTTCCTGCAAATGTTTCAGCAATTAATGGACAGTGGAATCCTCAACCATACCCTGCTGTTGATTGTCTCAAACTATGGCCTGAAGGATGGCGACGCCACCACCTTCTCGGCGAGCAATCAGGGCAGACTGGAGGCCAACCAACCATTGGCCATCATTGCGTACCCCGAATGGCTAGAGGAGCGGTATCCTCTGGCTGTAAAGCATCTCAAAACGAATGCCAGGCGACTGGTAACCGCTTACGATCTGCATGCCACACTCCTCGATATGCCACACATGACGGCACTGGAGGACAAGGAGATACGTTCGCGCAGCCAGCAACTGGAGAATCCTTTGATGGCTGAGCATATGCCTCGTGGTATAAGTCTCTTCCTGCCAATACCCGAGCAGCGGGACTGTTCGATGGCCCACATACCCGCCGAGTACTGCCTGTGTCACCGTCCCACGAATATCCAGCTGCAGCATAGCCAAGTGCAACGTGCCGCTCGTTATATCATACTGCAGATCAACGACTTGCTGGCATCCAACCATCCGCCATGTCAGCTGTTGGCTTTGGATCGAGTGCTGGCAGCAGAGCTGTGGCAGCGGTCCGCGGATCAGCAGCAGTTCGAGATCAAGCTGCAAGTGCAAACGTTGCCAGGTTTGGGCCAATTCGAGGGTGTGGTGCGTTTTACGGACTATACTTTCGCATTGAATGGACCCATAAAACGATTGAATGTGGATACCAATGAGAGTTCCTATTGTATACAACATATTTTAATAGAAAAATATTGCTTTTGTGGGTGAATTTTTATGCTTATAAATGTAGGAACCCTGATTAGTGTCTTCTCTACGATTTTCAGAGGTTTCTTCCATATTTTTTTTGTTACTTTTCATAGCTTACAAATCATAAGCTCACATATTTATATACTGGCTGAGTGCGGGTATAAAAGTAGAGTCGCGTACCCTGAAGCGACTCACACGTTCCTTCTCGCTATCCTTCGAATCTGTATTTCTTTTTGTCTTGCACATCTTTCTTTTCAGTGCAAATCTTCAGCTATTACTTGCCTTGAGTTCTAAGCCAATTTCTTGATGGATTTTCCTCTAAATTAGCCATAATTCAAGCACACATATCCCTTTTGCTTAGTCATATATCTTTGATGTGGCTGCTTTGAGGAGCTTAATTATCCGTATATCCATTAGACATGCTCCAACTTGTACCCCTGCCCGCCTCTATGACATCATTAGCCATGGGACAGAGCTGCCAATAGATTTAAAGGACACTTCCACACACACACACACACAGATATACACATACACATGTGTGTTTTCGCATATCTAAGGATACACATCATATGTTCTGTTCTCCTTTGGAGGAACGACGTAGTCTAATCTGATGATTTATAGAAAATTTAGGTCGCCATATAGTCGTCGCATTAATTACGCCTCATAATGAGTGATTTATGCGAGAGAGAGAGAAAGAGACGGAGAGGAGACAGCCTTCTGCCAGGGTTGCCAGGCTACGAGCTAGAGCCTGCATTATGGGTATTCCACTGCCTGTGCCCTGCTGCTGCTTCCTCCACACATCACACATCCTACTACATCCTGCTGCCATGATAAGAAATGTTGCTGTATGCCAAAACGCCCAACGCCCAGCCGGCCTGGCCCTGCCCTGCGGCGGTCGGCCAAGGGGAATCACATTAGCACAAAATGCCCCGTAATTATGCTTTTTATGATGGCAGACAGAGCTCCCCCCTTGATAATGTGTGTGCTTATCAGCCCTTGATGGTGTGTGCTCTGTGTGTTTGTGTTTGTGCTGACTCCATAAATGTGTTAAAATTTGATGTCCTTTTAATTCCATTTTTATGAGTGCAGCGCCAGCGTCTCTGCGTCAATCACACACAAATATTTATAGTTTCTTTATAATGCTGACTCTTTTTGCTGACTGATTTATGGACTACGGCGACGTCCTGGCCATGTGGTCCTGCTGCATTTGACGTTTGATTTATGCCCCCTGATGGACAACTGCACAACAGAAAGCGAATGAGACTGAGCAGAATTTTGTTGCACAGAGCAGGGTATGGGAAGTTCTTTGTGAAATGTGGTTTGGGTACCACAGCTGGATGGCTGTTTTTATAGGGGTTTTCTTTGGATATTTAGAGGTATGTTTTGATTGTTTTGTGCTTGTGGCTAAACGCGTTTTGGATTAAGGTTTCTTATTAAAAGGAAATTGTGTGAGATTATTGGGAAAAATTAATTTTAATTTAATAATAAATAAATAAATATTAATTTAATTTTAATTGTGGATTCCACAAAAGATTTTTAGTTATTGTTTTGTATATGCACAAATAATCTGATTTGGAAAATCGCTTATACGTTTGAAGACAGACAGATATTACAGAGATAGAAAGTCTTCTGCGCTAAAGATCTTTAACTGGAAATGTCAAAAAGTTTGGCCAGAATAAAACAAAAATTAAACGAAAATATGCCCATGTGACCGAAATATTTTTAAAGCCTCAATTTAACTTCAATTATAGAATAAGAAGAAATAAAAATAAAGGAAGTATTAAATTAAATATGTGAGAATCATAATATGATTATAGGCTTAGACCGAGTGGCACTGTCGCATGATGCGCAACACAGTTAACCGAAACGGTCGCTTACATGTAGTTAAAAGTATATTTTGTTTATAAGGAACACCTCCAGAATTTCTAGAGGTATTTTGATCGCCCAAATCTAGTTCTAAAATAACCAGAATATATTCTAGAAAAAACTTCTACTTCAAGTATTTATGGCTCTGCGAAGAAATTTTAGAAATGCTAACAAAAATGATTTCAATACGTTGCATAATTGCTCTATCCTTCAAGTATTATTTAATAATTTAATACCCAAAATACGCCTAAAATTTTTTATTGATTATAAACTATTATATCCCCCAATTATGTGCACATAAAATGAGATAAACCTCTCTCTCTATTCCGCCCCCAATAATGCACATTCTATGAGTGCCGCGTAATGTCCCTAAATCATTTTAATAAGCTTCGTCCATTGGCTGTCAGCTCGTAAAAGCGGAAACGATTCCCTATCCATCGTTAGAGTCCCTCGTAAATTCGGTAAACGCGCTTAAGTGATTTTCACACTAAAAACCAGCGGGTGGGTCACTTTGACTATTTCAAATGGTGCTCGTACACTCCCTCTCTCTCTCTCTCACTCTAGTACTCTCTGTGGCTCTCTGTAGCTCTCCGGGCAACACATAAAATTAAATTTTATGTACATCTAACGCGTACGCGAATGTGAACGTCAGCGGAGAACACAGTTCAACAATTAAATAACAATAAAAGTCTGCTTTTGATGAGGTTTTGTGGTCTTTGGTCGTTGGTCTTGTGAGCTTAAGAGAGCGACGGGGCTTTAATGGCCATCATCTTCTCATCAACGTAGCATTTCTGCTGTTTTTTTTTTTTGACAACTGACAAGCGGCGGGTGGGTTCAAACGTCAAAAAGGCGACAAATCTGTCACGCCCCAGGGCTATAGCACCTGGAAATGGAAACCCAAAAGCAGAGACTTTGCTCTACGTCTTGTGTTTACTCTTGTTTACTGTCAAATAATGGCAGAAGTCGTAAAATCTTTAATTTTATGAGCAACATCGTAAAATCTAAGACAAGGCCAAAGGAGAGAGACAGAGAGAGAGAGCGGGGAGCGGGAGAGAGGACCTGAACGGACAACCCGACTGTCTTTCTGTCTCTTCTTTTCTGTTTATTTAATTATAAATTTTCTTTTTGTATTTTGCCGCAAAAACAAAAACTTGAAATGTGTGTTTGTTGCCCTTTGGGTGTGAAGGAACATCTGTCCCCTGCCTCGCCCACTTGATGATGTGCTGCTGGTTACAAAATACTAATCAAAATTTATGGCATTCAACCAATTGAAAAGAGCATCTTTTGGAAACCAAAGCCAGCCGACAAGGTGCAACCAACAAATTGGAAAATTTATGATCGGAGAGGAAGTGTCGATCCCCAAACCCAACACCCCGCCGCACACGCGTTCAAACGGAAGCGCGCCTCAAAAAACCATTTTCCCCCAGTGTCCACCAGAGTCGAAGAAACATTAATGGGATGCACTTAACAGGGATTTATCACTGCCGCCCACACACCACCAGCCCAGCCCATACCATCCCATCCCATCCCATTCCGTGGTTATGGGATACACATAAAGATCACAAGATCAGAGACCAGAGAGCTGCAGGATCCATACGTTTGTGGTCAGCATTTTGAGTGGGATTTATAGATGTGATGTGATGTGATGTTCTTAGGGTTGGGTTCCGAAACTAAGGCGATATATTGATGGGTTTTTATAACCGCTTTATGATGTGCGATTGGTTTCTGAGTGTTTATAGAGTGTGCCCTGATAATAATATAGAATTATAATGGAAATATAGCTGTAATATTTCCCATATTTCCTTTAATATATCCTCCCAAACAACCATGGAAAACCAACCCAAACCACAACCCACTTAAGATAAGATATTTAAGACATTTTTCTTTAGCATTTCCTGCCTGCCTGCCTGTCCACTAAATATCTAGCTGAGTTGAGAAGAGAAGAGAAGATCCTCTCAGAGATTTAGCCAGTCTGTGAGATTAACTAAAAGAATAACAACAAATTCCATATCATATTTACGAGCAGGGGGAAGACGCAGAGATGGGGGGCAGGCGATCATCTGGCAGCCCGGCAAAGGCAATCAGAATACTAAATCTGATGTACGCCGCTAATTGCGCATAGATTACCAGATGCATGAGCGATATTAAGCGGCAGAGAGAGAGGGACCGCCGCTCGATCCTCTGGTTAGAGATGCGTGTGCATCGCGTTTGGCCAGGAAACAGTCCGGGCGACAGCTCAATGAGAAATTGCGACAGAGACAACTCTATTTGGCCAATCGACGAGGCTGAGACTCAGACTCAGACTTAGACTGTGGACTGTGGACTGAGGACTGGCCGACGAAGACCGTTGCCTTATTTATTTCGAATTGACCCATTTGGTAATATTCATAATTTAAGGTGCGCACACGAAAGCCGCCGCAACATCAGCCTGCTATCCTGCCTCCTTCCTCCTCCCTCCTCCCTCCTGCCCCACTGTTCGTTGTTGCTGCAAAAAGCTGCATAAATTCTCGCATTCGTTTCTTCATTGCCATTTGAGTTTATTTGCGATGGCCGCGCTGTCATAAGTTGCCGCCAAATTGTTGCATTGTACCTGCTGCGCGATGCAACATCGAAGCTGCAAGATGCAACGATCCTCCACCACCGGCAAGGGGGAAAATCAGAGTTAAAGATCCCACTCTCTCGGCCTCTTGAGTTGTAACTCAGAAATCATTAAAAAAAAGTGCGAGATACTTTATGAATTCGTCGTGGGCCGCAGATACTCGTAGAGAGGGGGGGTTGGACTGGCGTGAAATATGCCCATTAAAATGTACGATCATCCTCGCCTTAAATGCAAAACTAGTCTGAATCTGAATCGGAATCGGAATCTCTGGGTCTCTCGAGAGTCGTCTTCTTTCCGCTGGGGAACGAACGCAGCAGAACTGTTGAACGTACGAACTGTCCGCTGAATTATTGTTAACGATTTGCAGTTAATTTCGAGTCATACGTTTTCGTTTCGATTTCCATGGTTTGTCTGGTATTGACTTTATTTTGAATGCTAATGGCTCGATCAGTCGATCAAGGATGGGGCCTTGGCTTAGGACTGATATTCGATATGAATGGAGGAAGCTGTTGAGGCTGGAAGAAGACTTTTAGAGCGGGCAAAACGTTGGCCATAAATCTTTTATATTATAATTGTAATTTATAATTATTTTTTTTTTATTTCATTTAATATTTTTTCTTTTTATTTTATTATTTTTTATTTTTTTTTATTATTTTTTTTTTTCTTTTTATTTTAGCAAAAAATTTCATTAGAATATCGCATAATTATCCCTTACCCTAAACATATATAATTCTTATACTTTATTGATCCTCGAGAGATATTTAAAAATAAATATAAAAGAAACATAAAAGGTGCCCCCCGAAAGCCCTTGGGTACGGAACGGTACGGAAACAAAGAACTAATTATCATCATTATCGAATTAATGCAATCGATTAGCATATTCGCTTTTACGATTCGATGCGAATCGATTCCCCTCCCACCGATAATTTACAACATTTAATTTATTATTATTGGCATTTCTTGATTTCTCCTCGTCAGCTGCCATCCATTGAATTCTTCTTTTACGGTCCGCAGGAGAGATGTATCCAGCAGATGCCACTCTGCCATTGCCACTCGGGTATCCAGGCGATTGGGGATCGTACCTGTTGAGTGCTCTTGTGGCTGCTGGTCTGCTGCTGGTCTGCTGCTTCTGCTGGCTGACTCTCCTCCGGTCATCAGGTTTATGTGGCATATAATTTTTGTCTTTTTTTTTTTGCTCATTCATTTCGTTCATAAAAAGACGCCATCGTAAAATTTTTTGATGACGTTTGTCACCGTCTGTCTGCCTTCTGGCTTTCATGGCAATGAAATTGTTGCAGTTTTTTTTTTTTGCTGGTACCATTAAATCGATATATTTATGACACTCCACTTAAGCTCCATCAAATTGAGTATTTTTAAGGGGAAGGCCTGACCTGACCTGTTTTTGTGTGTGTTTAAATTAAGAACTTTGAAAGAGGAAGAGAGGGGTTTTATTTAATTTTTTAAGGCAGTTTTCTTATGAAAAACATTTTGGAAAAATTAAAAGAAATAAGTTGAAAAGAAAATGTAATTATAATTATTTTTTAAACATTTTCTGATATTTTTGTAAGCTTGAATTCAACGTTAAGAAAGCAGCTGAAACAGCTAGAATCAACGTACAATCCAAAACCTATACCTAAACCTATTCCTATGTCTACATTCTCCTGCACATTCCGTACATTCCACACATGTAGTGGGGGGGGCTCCATATTAATATGTTCATACCCTGGCATTGCTCTATTGAGGAATTAAATAATAAAAGCAGTTAAAAAGCTGCACAACACAATTGTGCCATTATTTGCATTTGTGACCAACGTACGAGGAGGATTGGCCATACCGAAATCCCACCAGCCCCTGCCCCAGTCCCAGTCCCACAATCCTATCCGAATGCCAATCCCAGAATCAGAATCAGAGCAGAATCAGTGGCAGTGGCAGTGGCAGAGAGGTCCATGCCACACAGTCATCGTCAGCCTCTGCGTCAGCGTCATCAACAACAATAAAAGCAATGGTGGCAATAGCAACAACAAATAACATGACAATGCTGGGTATACCCTTGGCAGAAAAAAGGGTATGACGACTTTTCATAGACATTTGTAAGGCAAGGGGGCAGTAGAAATGGCAGCAAAGGGAAGCTCTGTAAATATCTTAAATGTTTGCTCCAAAATCATCTTTTTTATCTTCCGAAAATCGAATAGGATCAACATATCATATAGCTTTTATAGGAGCAATTTTTGTAAATATAAATATTAAATATAATATAAAAATCTTTTTTTCTTTTATTATTTCTGAATGTCTTTATTTATTTAGCATGAATCTATAAGGAAAGGAAACTTCAGATGATTCAGATAATTCTACTGAATATGCAGATACTTCATTGATTAAATGATTCAATAATTCAGTCATTTATTTTATTTAAAACCATTCGAAGTAATTGAATGAACTGTAATCTCTTCGATTTTGGACACATATAAATTTCAAGCCAACCTAAAGTTCAATATTCTTCAATACATATTACTCTGTCAAAGTGCGTCTCTGTCACACCATTTAAATATCTTCCATTGAGTGCTCTTCAGTCTGCAATTGATCTTCTAGGGTAGCCACATCTTCGAGCTTTTATTTATCCCTTCTTTCTTTTGCTTTTGTTGTAATTTTTGAGGGCATCATCAGCAAACACAATAACACAGGGAGAGGGAGATAGTGGGTCGGGAACAAGTGCTTGGGTGGGGGAGTATACGAGAAATTCTCCTCGTGGTTGTTTGATTCGAAAATTGAGTTTTAGCGAGACAAATAAAAATAAAACTTAGAACAACAAAACAACAAAACAACAGCAGCAGCAACAACAACCAAAGTGAGAGCCAGGCCAAAAGCGTTGCAGCCATTAAAAAGGAGTTATCACCCAATTTAGTACCACAAGCGCGAAATAACGTACACATCTGGTTGTAGCAGGGCAGCAGGAATGGAGGGGCGCAGGAGGTTTTGACGGGGGTTCTGTCGACGTCAGTTGGCACAGAGTCGGTGGCGGAAGGTACGGGAATAGCACAGCACAGAACAGAACAGCAAATAGACATACTGTACAACATGGCATTTAATGTCAAACCCAAGCGGCGCTCCTCCCATATGAATGGGGGGTAGGTACCCCATCTTTGGAGTTGCAGGATGATACTACTACGATGACGAGGAATGCCAATAGGGATTACAACAAGAAGCGTGTTTAATATACATAGTTTTAGAAGCAAAAGGAATGCCTATACTTATTATTATGTGAGTAAATCTTTGCTTTATCATTTATAGAACAAAATTTCTTATTTTGTGGATTTATTTGGAAGGAAAAATGGATCTTACGCAAAAGATTTCAGCTAGTTTTGATAGTAAAGGAATGTTTTTGGAAGAGGATAAACTGTAGACTCACGAGGAACATATTTTTTTAGTTTGTGGCTTTTTTTGGAAAGGAAAACATTTTTACATAGAAATATTTACCAAATTATGAATTTAATTTCTAAAACGAAACAAAAAATGTATGGCAAATTATGACACAATTCCTTTACCCTTTTTTATACAAATAATAAAATGGGAATTATAATTATTATTATATTCTTATTATTAAATCTATTCTCTTTATAGATCATCATACAGATTGTTCATATAAGCGAGAATTTTCCAATTTGTACATGCAATTGGAGCGCATTTTAGTCCGTAAAAGATTTTAAACTGAAATTTGGAGTGATTATTATGAAATGATTTTATTCCATGTAGTCCATATAAAATGTTACTCAAGCTGATTTAAATCTAAAACGCGAAATCCTTCATGGTATTCCTATGCATAAACTACCATTTAGAACCATCTTTCACTCCCCAATATCTCTCTGCAAATCCCCCTGAAGACACAATCTCTGTTGGCGCATAAGAAAACCCTCACTCCATCTACCAAAATGTTGAGCAAATGTGCAATTAGAAGGTAATTACTTGGCTAAAGAGCTACATATACAGATATATCTATATATATATATATATTTGTACATGAAATCCTACAAACAGACATGCAAATTATATACGAGAGAGAATGTGTTGCACGAGTAATAAGCAATTATCGTGAATCAGAGACACACGACGAGGCGTCCTATGTTCTGGATTGAAAGCACCGCCCCCACGATTCGACTAATTAGCGATATAAAAATTGTAACGGCTGTAGGGAAGAGGGGACAACAGTCTAAAAAGGGCGAAGACTATAAATAAATGGCTGTTTGGTGTTGCATGTGCGGCTGCTGCTGCTGCTGCCAGCCACGTTAATTGTTAAACAAATGTACGTTTATCACTCAAAGGGGAGCTAGTAGATGGGAGTACATGTGTATGAAGCAGAAGGAGGAGGAGTCAGCCAATATTGTCCGTGTTAGACGAATGGAAGGCAGGACAGGCCAGGCGCAAGCAGGCAGGCAGAAATCCGCGTGGATGCCCCATAACCCACATTCCCCACACATGTGTGAGTGTGTGTGTGTGGGTGTGTGTGTATCCACGCGTATCCACGGGAATTGTTATGTTTTTCGTATTTAACCTCAGACATGGGCCTCGTTTGTATAAATTCCACGCGGAAAACAGGCAGTCAGGCAGCCAGCAGCAACAGCAGCAGCAGCAGTTGCCACTGGCAGTTGCCAGTGCCCATGGATTGGTGTTTGCTGTTGCTGCAATTGTACTATGAAATTATGAGAGGCAACAGCAACACCCAACAGTGGCGGGGCGGCAGTGGTGGCAGCGTCAACGTCGACGCATCGTTCATCGCGTGCTCACATATGGCGGAAATGACACTTTTACATTTAGCATTGGCGCGAGAGAGAGAGAGAGAAACGCAGAGAGGGTGGGGAGAGAGAGAGCGACATGTACGCCACACACAGACGCAATAAACTTCATTTGTGACAGGCCGCAACAGCACAGACACGAGCAACAAGGACTCTACGGATGCGGAAAGCACGAACGGGCAGGGGATACGGATACAGACACGACCATGTCAACGCTGTGGTGAATGGTGAATGCAGAATGGAGCTGGAGTTGGAGCTGGACCTGGACCTGGAGCTGGGGCTTCATTCCCGTGGATCGCTCGCACTCGCACTCTGCTGTGTGTGGAGTGTCTGCTAATGAATAAACTGGGCTTGAAATATGACCCGAAAGGAGCAAGCGCGCGCTCCAGCGGCAGTTCATTTCGTATGGCTCTCGCTCACTCCTTGAAAAGGGAGACCAGACTATGACTACATAAATCACCGAATAAAGAGCACAACAAACATAGAAACATAGATTTTTGCTGTTTTCGTTATATTAAAAAAAACCAGGGATCACAAATATAAATATTAAATAATAAAAAAACAAGGTCGAAAAAAGTGTCCTAGGTGTATAAAAAAAAAACAGCTACGCTATTTTAAGAAGAGCAAACTCGTAAGAAGATAAACTTTTATAACTTATATTTATAATACAAATTAAAAATTAGAACTATTTTTTTTTTAATAAACAAAGACTTATTTTTTAATGAATTAAATAATAAAGAAGAGGGAATCTTGATAAACTTTAAAAAAAAGACTTATATTATTTTTTATTATTTTATTTTATTAATCTCAAAATAAGTCATCTACCTGATTTTTATGATAAAAATAAAAATCATGAATTAATTAATTAAGAAGAAAAATCTCGTCACACGATAAACTTTCATTGCTAATTTAAAAAAAAATTAAATAATAAAAAAAATATAAATAATAAAAAAATAATACAAATTAAAAATAAGACTTATGTTTTATTAGTAAAAATATTTATTTTTTATTTTTATTCATCAAAAATAAGTGATCAACTGATTGTTATAATAAAAAAAAATATAAAAAGATAAATTAATTCTTATTTCATAACTTTTATTATAAAAATTATAATTCTTACGGTCCCCGATTAAAACTCAAACTATGCACTTTAATCTTTAATCCCCAGCTGCAACATGAACAGCGACGATCTGGAAGACACACATCTGTGCATTAAGTGCAATGCCACCATAGTGGGACTCGCCAAGTACATAGAGCACCGCAAAAGCAACTGCCTGGCCGCAACGAAAGCCCAAAGATCTGTGACTCCACCGGCAACGGGAGCAGAGGCCACGCCAACGGCCACTCCAGATGTTTCACCCACCGCGATACTCAGCAGCACACACTTGGATCACTCGTACGACGGCTTTCATTTTGCAGAGCCGGAGGCGCCCAGCAGCTATCTGAGAAAGACGACAGCCAGTCATGGGGGAAAGAGCTCCAAGTCGCTGACGGAAGCCTACGATCTGCCCTACGAACTGGGCGCCGATTTGTTCTTCTCGTCGCTGCAGTTGCAGAGCGTGTCAACGGGCGGAAAGACGGTGTCGAGGCCCAAGGAGGAGGCCTGGGATGGCGCCCATAGAGCGGCCAAAGAGGAGGCCTGGCCAGCGGCTAGGGATCCGGTACTCAAAGCAGTGCGAGAGGAGTCTGTCTTCAAGCCGCTCAACTTTGTGCACGACTCGCCAGAGCCCAGCGACGATGAGGACGAAGAAGATGATGATCCGGATGACTCGTTTGATGTGGAGGAAGATGAGGCCGAAGAGGAGTACGATGTGGTGCAGCATTCGCCGCCCGCAGTGCCTGCCACCCACACGGGTGGCAAGTGGAAGCCCGAGCATCGGCCGCAGCTGCGACACACGCACATGGAGAGGATCTCCCCCAGCTGGGATGAGCCCGTGGATGTGGTCTACGCGCATCCGCCCGAGGAGCACACGCGTGGCAAGTGGGTGCCCGGCAGCAAGCAGCTGGAATACCGCGAGAACATCGACCTGACGAAGCTGCAACAGCCGGGTGTCAGCTACTGGTGCAACATCTGTTGCAGACGCTTGAAGAGTCGCTGCAACTACGATCAGCATCTGCGTTCGGGCTACCATTTGAAGCGTGCGGAGGCCGAGTCTCAGCTGGAGCAGGCCACCCTTGGGGGTAAGCTTACGCTGAGCAAGGACTTTAGTCTGCCAGAGCGGGAGGAGCAGCAACAGCAACAGCAAGAGCAGCAGCAGGCAACGGAGGAGGAGGAGGAGTCTGCTGCCCCCAAAAGGAAACGCCGTGCGCATCAGCTGCGCTGCGATCTGTGCCGCCACACGATGGCCCGCCATCTGATGGGCAAGCATCTGATCTCGCATTACCACTACCGCCGCCTGCAGCAGCAGACGCCGCTGCGCAGGCAATCCTTCCTGCAGGACATACTCGACCACATGGCCAGCATTGTGCGACAGTCGCCGTTCCAGTGCCTGCCCTGCCGCTTCTATGCCAACACGGAGCACTCCTTTCTGCAGCACTGGCGATCCGAGGCGCACTTGAAGCAGGTCGAGGGGCCAGCAGGTCCAGGGGCTTCGGGTGGCAGCTTCTGGTGCAGCTACTGCCAGTTTGAGTGCGACTCCAGTGACGTTATGTGGCAGCACATGCTGCATCCGTGCCACAAGGATGTGGTGCAGGCACTCAATCGATCCGTGCCCATTTGCATTGCCCAGCGGCGTCGCCTGCAGTGCTCCGCGTGTGGCGAGAGCTTCCTGTACAACATGCAGCTGCGTCGCCACTTTGCCACAGAGCATGCGGGCGTGCCGCCCACCGCCACGGCCGCCGACGACTACCAGAGTCGCTTTCGCTGTGGCATCTGCGGAGCGCCGCAAATGTCCCGCCTGGCGCTGCAGCGGCACGAGAAGTTCAAGCATCAGCTGGAGCGCTACTACTGCGGCATCTGTCACCTGGAATTTGCCACGGCGCTGGAGGCGCGTCGCCATCGCAGTCTGCTGCAGCACAAGCTGCGCTCCACGCCCAAAGACAGGGCGGCGCCGCAATCGGATAGGGTGCTGGAGCGCATGCTACGCGAGGTGCTGGAGGATCAGCGCCCAAATCCGCCGGCCAAAAAGAAGCGACTGATCGCGGCCTGCAAACAGTGCGCCAGCTGCCAGAAGATCTTTGACTCGCCGCCAGCGCTGGCCCAGCATCGGGCGGCGGCGCATCCCACGGAAAATCATTGCTGCCTGAGTTGCGGCGAGAGCTTTCACTCACCTCAGGCACTGGGCAGGCACAACCGCAGCTGTCAGCCCACAGCGAGCACGTCCGCCAATGCCACCGCCACCGCCACTGCCACTGCCACGACAGACGGCAGCAAGTCCTGGTGCTGCGATCAGTGTCCGTTCAGCTGCGAATACGAATCGGATCTGCTGTATCATCGCTTCTTTCACACTCGAACGGGTGCGATTGGACGCAACGAGTTGCTGCAGTGTCCGCGCTGTCCCAAACGCTTCAAGATGTACTCCCTCAGGCCGCATCTGCGGACGCACACGAACGAGAAGATCTTCGAGTGTGCCGTCTGCCAGATGAAGTTTGGCAGGCGACACAATCTCAAGAATCACATTGCCACCATGCACGGCCCGAAGGGAACGAAGAAGCAAACGGAAACGGAACCCAAACGGAAAGCAAAGCATGTAACGGATGAAGACAAACCCAAATATCCGTGTGCAATATGCGGAAAAATGCTGGCAAATAGGTGAGTAGTCGCCCCATCCATCCATTCGGGCAAATCCCCCAACCACAAAGTCCCCTAATTAGAATCTCAAAAAGCGCCTCAGGCGTCGCTCTCTCTCTTTCTCACTCTCTCTCTCTGTGTGCAACGGAAATGTTCTCCATGCTCTTGTGGAAATTTGTCGCCCCAAAATAGTTTGCGAAACAATAAAAACGTGGCAAAAGGAATTCGCCTGCAAATGAAATCCCTGCAAGAGACATGCATGTGTGTTGCATTAATTAAAAATTCCAAGCTGCAAGCCCACACACAAAAAAACCCAAAAAACAAAACACAAAATATAACTCATTAAGTTCGGGGCATTCCACGGCGGGTCCTGGCATCCCTTTACTCCACTTCCACAACTGGGCACTGCAGCCACAAAGTATGCAATGCACTCGCAAATCAAGATGCCTCCGGGCTTATATGTATTCCAACCCACAAAAAAACTGCACTTCTACCCCCGAAATATCCCGGAGAAATATCTGTTTATATATTAACAAAAGATGCAGCCAGCAAAAGGACAACACTTAGGGGTGCTCCTTCCCGAACGGCACCGAAAATGGCATTATTACAATGGGTTATTTTTTGGGCAAGGCATTCTCATAAATGTTGCTGGCGGTTTGCGCATTTTAGAAAATATCCAATCCCAATGGCCAGTGGCTATTTTTTTTTTTTTTTGGCTGGGATTCTGCTGTGGCGAAAAGTGGGGAATGCTGTGGAGATGGGAATGGAACTGCATTTGCTTAACCAAAAAGAAAAGGGATTAAGTTCCAAATTGTAATGGTTCTTAAATGCTACGATATACGAGTACTGAGTACTGACTGATCCTATTCCAAAATTCGATGGCGATTTTTCTATATTTCTTGCAGAAATACCTTCTATTTTTGGGGTCCTCTGGGGTTTTTCTAAAATTCCAACGCTGCTGCCGTCAGTACTCCCAAGGGCCCCTACCCCTTCCCTACTGATCGTGCCATGGCCATGGCGCTGTTGGGTTTTTACGTTTTATATTTTCTTGGATTTGTTTTTCGGTGATATTTTTGTTGTGGCAATTTTTTATCGCGTACTTTTTCTGTTTTTATGCACATAAAAGTAGACTGGAGTTGTATTCTCAGTGTATGATTTGCTGCAGGCCGTGGCTATTCTATTGAGAAGGGAGAGGGAGAGAAGAGAATGGCTGCAATATAAATGAGAATCATATGCAGTAAAATTCGTAAATATTTTATTTAATACAATTTTGTAGATAGGAATGATAAATGAACAGGCAAGCTGAGGATATTTTCAGGCATTGCGATTGCCTAGAGCTGAAAGCTCTATTGCCTCTGGATCAGGCTGTGGTCGCACATTAACATGGGGCATTGAATATATTAGTTTGTGCCAGAAATTGGGGTCATCTCGGTTGAGATACGTGTTCATCACCATGTAAGTGCGCAGTTCGCTGTCGAGGTCATCGAAGTTCTCCACCTCGGGATAGAGGACCACAATGAGGCGCTTGCATCGATCCTGGGAGGTGGCATGCAGCGCGAGGCGGAACTCCAGTCGCCCCCAAGTCGACTTTAGGAAGTTGTTCGTCATCAGGATGATGATGCGCTTCGAGTCCTTCACAGATTGGCTGATGCACTCGGGAATGGACTCGCCCACCAGCCAGTCGCGCAGATAGAAGCAGAGCCGGAACTTGTTCGAGCCACTCTCCAGTCTCTCCACGAACTCCTCAATCAGCTCCTCGTCCTTGTGGGTGAATGATAGAAATGCATCGAACTTCTTTTGTTTGTCGCATTCCCTTCGGGCGGCGATGCTCAAGCATACATTGTGCTCGTATAACCAGATCAGTAGGGGCTGTTTGAAGTGTATCATAATGTTTATAGTTAGTATGATTAGCATGAACGAAATGGTGAGAGTCACAAAGTGCACGGTGCCTGAAGGGCATAAATCACTCTCATTCGTCTCGATCAGCCGCGTTGCAGTGCCACCGCAGTAGAGATCTATTAGATCTTCGATATCCGGCGATCGACTCTTCACAAAGTGAAGGAAATCTTTGTGCTCGCAAGTGCAAGTCCAGGGATTTCCAGACAGGAATAACTTCAGCTGGGTGGAGGCGGCTATTCTCTTGTCTAAGAAGTCTCGCAACTGCCGGTTCAGCGCCGAAATGCTATTGTTTCGTATGTCCAGAGTTGTTATATTCTCAGGCAATTGGTCGATTGCCGTCAGTCGATTGTTGGCCAGGTAAAGATGTCCTACATTTGCATATCCGCGCAGGGAACTGGAGGGCAAAGCCTCGAGATAATTCCCTTCAAAATGAAGAGTGGATTGTCCAGATATCGGTGTGGGTAATGGTGATATTTCTGTGAGTTCTTTGAATCTGCAATCGATAATAAACGAAGGCAACGTAGAATTATCTAGACAGCAAATGCAGGCCTCCGGACACAATCCTGAAGACACCATATTACAACGATCCAGGGCGGCGGTATATTCCAGCGGTTCCCTTTGCCTCAGGAATGAAAGGAAGGTCTTTGCCCTGCAGTCGCATGTCCAGGGATTTCCAGATAGTTGGACCTCACGATCTCTCAATAAATCGACCACCTGATCATCAAGAGCCTCCAACATGTTTTTTCGTAGATCCAAATGTGTGATGTTCTCGGGAATCAAGTGGAATGGCAAGTCCTTTATTTTGTTATCAAATAAATAAAGTTCTCTCAGGGAAGCATGACCCAATGAGTCTTTAATGCTGGTAATTTGATTCCCATCCAGCTGCAGTATGGCATTGTAGGGTATTGAATACGGAAGATAAGGATAGAAATGCTTATCTGCATGCCTACAGTCGATCATAAAGTGATCCGTGCTGCGGTTAAAGCAACAATGGCATCCAATTTGGACACGATGCGTTTAAATGATGAAAAAAAACAGGTTCGATCGTGTTAAAGGAAACATTATGCAGAAAATCCAGCATAAGTTTTTCATCACAATTGACGTTCCATCGGTTTCCCGCCTGCTCGAAACTAATCCACTTTTGATAGGTAGTCCATCACATCTTTATCGAGTCTTTTGATGCGATTATTTTTGATGTTCAATCTGCGCAGATTTTTTGGTAGCCGATCAATTGCAAGACTAGTTAATCTATTATTGGATACAGATAAAGTTTTTATGTCATTATATCCACTTAATGTATTCTTTGGCAGTTCTTCTATATCATTTGAATCCAGATACAGAGCCGTGTCGCCAGTACTCGCAATTGGCAATGGTGGAATTGCTGAAATTTTTATATGGGAACCAAATATTACTAAAATCTTAGAATACACATTATAATAACAAATGAAATTATCAGGGCACTTGTTCCTGCTAAAGTATCTGCAATGAAGAGGATGAATGGTGCAAACAGTCGCTGCTAGATTCGAATAGGGCTTGTATTTATCATTCACATAAATGTACTCTAGTTTGGTGTAATCTTTGAAATATTTCATATCCACCATTAGATTGACTTCCAGAGTAACAGTCACTAAGCTCTTATGAAGAGTCTCAGATCTAAAGAGAAAAAAAAAAAAATACAAAATTACTTTTTGAATAGAAAAAAAACGAGAAGGAACGTGCGAGTCGCTTCTGGGGACGCGACTCTACTTACACCCGTGCTCAGGCAGTATATAAATTTTTGAGATTATGGTTTTTTGGATTTTTATAATTTAAAAAAATTTTACATTTTACATTTTTTTGTTACATCTGTTATCTACATCTGCAATGTATATTCTACATCTAACATGTAGATTATACATGTACCATTTAGATTCTACATCTCCTCCGCTAGATGGCGCTCGCGTACATAACGAGGCAGAGGGTGCGAGCGAGAAGGTGGCTGGGGAAGCAACTGAAAATTAATTTCTTCATTCTGGCTATAATTATGATCCGATCTGATTCAGATTCGGCCATCTGGTAGATATGGTCATTCTATACGATACTGCGATTTTATCATATCTTTAAAATTGTGCCTGCCACAGATTTTAGTCCTTTGTGTGGGCGGAAGGGGGCGGGGCGAAATTTTGAAATACACTTGAAGCAGTGTGATATCATCATCTTATAGTCTCTGAGATCCAGGCGCTCATCAAGACGGACAGACAGACATGGCTATATCGACTCAGCTATTGATGCTGATCATGAATATATATACTTTATGGGGTCGGAAACGTTTCCTTATCTGCTTGGGCACATCCACTTTTACCGCAAATAGAATATACCCCTTAACTCTTTTTGAGTACGGGTATAACAAAACTTTGAATTGAATAGATAGAATTTCCTTATGGATAAATAGCCTGAAATCAGAAAAAGTAGGTTTTAATTCTTGATAACTATCAGTAGTCCGATCATATTAATACACGTATTTGAATTAATTTCTGAAACAAGATTTCAAAAGCTATTATGTTCAATTTTTATATATACTCGTATGTACATATTTACTTATTACGTATTTTGAATAATTTTCACAACTATCCCAATACGAACCTTAAGAACTGGAGATCCTCTACAACCACACAGCTGAATTGTAATGCGTTTAGATTCCGCATGCTGTTAAAAACTTTCGCGGTAAGATATCTAATATCTATGCTCGAAAAGCGAAGCAATTTTAGATTTGGTGTACCCACAAAAGTATCGTCGTTTATCCAGATTAAGGGATATGTCCCGTCAGGAGAAACAATTCCAATCTCTTCCACATGATTCAGGCTGCTTAGCTGAATATAATCAATCGATTTATCATTTAACATATCGGTAGAAATTTCTAGAGATTTTGAGCCATTTAAACAATTGAGATGTTTCTCATATATTTCAATGTCTGCGCCACTTAAATGGTATGTCTTTACTTCTTGTACACCAAGATGTGTGAGATAATATACTGCAGGTCGATGTATGGAGTCATAAACAACAGTTAAGAGTTCCAGTTTGACATTAGTTTCATTGGAAATTGGGAAGATATTCCACTCTTTGATGTCGCTGTTGGTCCAATTGAGTGTCAAAGTTCCATTTTTTAAATGCAATGTATAATCGTTTGAGATGACAGCTGATCCATTTTGGTGGCACGTTTTATCACTAATATTGGTATTGCATAAATCTTTACAGTATGTTTCACAGTAGTCCTCTCTGATATTTTGCAAAAACTTTTGAGCACTAAACGAATTTATTGCCAAGAACACAAAATATATCCAACAAATATTCCACGACATTTTTTCGATGCGAACTGTATGCGAGTTTTATTCGTACTAAACGGACCGGCAAACGGCAATAGTTTTCGGATGAAATCCCAAAATTAGTTCTCCATAGGGAATCTACACAAAAACAAAAAAAAACAATTAAAAATGTATTATATTGCTCCCAAAAGAACTAAAAGCTGCAGAGAAGAGAGAAAAATATGAAAATTTCAGTAGAATATCTTGATAAACAACGAGAGGGAACGTTGTGAGTCGCTGCAGTGGCCGCGACTCTTACATTTACTCTGCACTCAGTCAGTCCAATTTTAGAATATTTTTTATCTGTTCCCAATTTCTTTCAACATCTGTCATCTACATCTCTCTCTCTTTATCTCTCTTCACTCACCAGAGAACGCACACTGCACGAGCCTGAGTGTGTGAGCGAGAGAGAGAATGAGTAGCGCTGCAACGCTGGAAGGGCGTGGGTGAGCAGCTGAAAATTAATTTCTTTAATCTGTCTAAAATAATTATCCAATCTGAATCAGATTCGGCCATCTAGTAGATACTATCATTTCTCGTATCTTCTCAATTGGGGATGCCACAGATTTTCGTCTTTTGTGGAGTCGCAAGGTGGCGGTGCGAAATTTGAAAACACATTTGTAACAGGGTCTGAGTCTGAGAAACAAAATTTGTGATTATCGGGTATAACAAAAACCAACAAAATATTAGAAAATTAATCATCAAAATATCAGAGACGAACTTTTTTTAAATATTGTAAAAATACAAGAAGAATATTATGAAATACTACGAATATACCAGAAAATGCTAGAAAACTAGTACAAAATACTATAAAAATAAAAGAAAAATACGGATAAATAGAAACATGCCGGAAAAATACTAGAAATATTCAGAGAACAAATGAGTTAATCCTACAATATTGTATTGTTTCTTCCCTTTTTTTATTGGTGGTGCACCTAAGACCCAAAGTCTTCAACTACACCCAGGCCTCATTCTTCACAGATTTGATCTATCCAATGTAAAATTCCCGTACCATGTAACCCATCAACCAATCTATAAAAAGGAGAGCTGATTTACCCTGCTTTCATTTTATTTTCGACTACATCTACAACGATTGCCTTCTGCAGTCGCACACTCTCTGTCTGTCTCTCGCTCGCTCTGTCTCTTGTAGAGAGAAACCCATTAGCACTGACAGATCTAAATCTCCGTCGTGCATAACTACTCATAACTTGTGGAGCTTTTTTCTTTGCCATCGTCTTGCCAACTAATTCCTTGAGCAAACATTAAGTTGAATTGCAATCGGGACTCTGAGCTGTGGAGATGGAAAACGGGATGGAAACTAGAGGAGTCGCTTGGGTAGAGAATTTTCCACTTTTCAAGTGATTATTTGAAAAATTTATTAAAATGCTCATTTGAAGTTATTGTTGTGCCTCGGCTTGATGTAGATACTTTGCTTTTACGACTAACGAGACCAAGTGGCCAACAGTGGAGTGGAGTGAAGTGAAGTGAAGTGAAGATGAGCCCCAGACAAACTTTCAGTGTGGCTCAGTTCCAGTCGCAGTCCCAGGACGACAACGACAACGAAGACGACGACCAAGAAGACGACATCGTCGTCAGTCATGTCAACAGTGGATGCGCTACACACGCTTCCGGAATTCCAGACTTGAACTAACTCAACTTTTACGGTTGCTTCTTCCACTGCTTGGAGATGGTGGCTTCTGTTTGTTGGCTGTGAGTGCTAGAGATGGCACACGACTTAAACTATATTTTCCAAGCAGAAATTATAATTTATTTGCAACATAATGTACATTGTACACTCTTTGGAATTTATGTATTTAAACCTCCGATGTCGAGTAGTTTTGGATTAGCTTCTGGTTGGTGTATTGCAGTGCTAAAGTTGTGAGAGAAGAGAAAGATGTGATGCGAATGGAAGTATAGATGATCACAATATACTTACTGCATTTTATTTTTGCTTCTTATCTTTAATAGGGAATTTATTTATTTATCGCAAGCATTTGGAGAGGGGCGCCAGTTTGTGGTTTCTACTTTAGATATTGAAACCTGCCTCGAGCATGCACTTCTTGTATGCATCGATCACGCCCAGGCAGTGCTCTTCGCCGTGCTCCAGAAAGCACTGGTCCCGTGCCTGCTTGGTCTCCGGACAGGCACAGCAGGCACTGCACTTGGTTTTCTTGTCACCAGCGGCCGTTGCAGCGTTGCTCACGGACTCTGCTGCCACGGGCGCTGCTGCAATGGGCTCTGATGCAGCGGCTGGTGCCGTTTGGAATTGTTTGGATACGCGGTTGCCCATCGTTAAGCAAATTAGTAGCAGAACTTGTCCTCGAGTGGCACGATAAAATATTTTTATAGGCACAATTTGGATTTATTTTTGATATTTGCAATTTGACGTGAAACGAGTGGAACTACTTTCTGGATTTATTTATTTGTTGGTGCCCTTGATGCCCATCACTCTCACGCTGTCATCTCCAAATGGTGTCCTTTGCGTATACTTTCTGCCAGCGTTGAGAGCTGCTGGCGGGTCTCCTCCTACTTGGGCCTGTAGAAGTTTGAGGCGTCCGCTGACGACGTCGTCGCCACGCCATCGCCATCGCCAGCGTCGGGCAATTCACTTTTATTGAAATGGCGTGCAATGTTCTGTTGGCTGACTCGCTCTCAGAGTTGGATTCGGATTCGGTTTCATCTCTCCTGGTTTTTTCTTTTTCTTTTTCTTTTCTTTCGCTATCTTGCTCTGGCCACTGCCTTTTCCAATTCGTCTGCATTTTCCACTGTCCCCTGCTACAGCCACTGCCACTGCGACCTGCCCCTGCCACTGCCACTGCCCTGCTTTTTCTCTGTCTGCACTGTTGTTTTTCTTTCAGTTCTCCTCCAGAGTTTTTCCGCTCCTTTTTGGTCTATTTTATTTTGTATTTTAAGTCATTCCTTTGGTGCATCATTCGTTCGTTTCGTTTCGCCGGCAGTTGATTCTGTTGATGGCACAAAGTGCAGTGCAATTCATTTTAATGGTCGCCGTCGTCCTCCAGTGATCTCTCCCCAAACCCAAACCCAAACCCACAACCAGACACCCAGCCACCCATGCACCCATGCACCCTCTTGATTTTGCTCTCCGTTGGCGGGCGGGTGGGTTGGCTCCCATCACTTGAGAGTCAATTTCACAAAACTTGATTTCCCATTTCCAATGACGCCGGTTTGGGTTCGGTTTGGGTTCGGTTCGGTTTGGGTTCGGTTGGGTTTGGCTTGGTCTATCGGAGCAGGATTTAGGTCCCGTCTCGTCTCGTCTCTCGATTGCCTGCCACATTGCATTCATTCATTTTTATGAATCTGCGAAATTGAGTCGGACATTGTTCGGTTTGTGGTCTGTGGACGGGCATTGGGCATTGGGCGACGTGTTCTCTGTAAATCCTCCAGTCTTATGCTCCATACCGGATTCCTGCCTCTCCCTCTTGTTGATGGCTATTGGCAAGTGTTTTGTGTGTTGTTCCAGGATTTGCTTGGAGCTCTCCCACTCCCTCTAGCTCTCATGAGCGTACTGCCAGAATGCATAAATGTATATCAAGTGGCGGCAGTCGCAGCGGCAGCAAAAAAAAGCCAAGTCTAGTTGGGTAATAAGCATATGAATACTCGTATGCTTTTTCCTCTTCCCCCTTGTGTTCCATTGGCTTACCAAAATGTTGGGGGTTTGTTGGCAAATTGATGGGGATGGCTTGAAGGAGCGCAAATGTATGAGGGAGAAGCTTTAAAGTAGAAGCGAGCATCGGTGGGAAGAACAGTTCTATATCGAGCAGGGATATGGGCAAGAAATTATCACTAAGATGCCCGTTTAGGTCTAATCAAGGGCATACCAAAGCCTAATTAAAGTAAAAATATACAAAGAACTACACGCTTAGGTCATGCAAAAACTAGAGAACTAATAGAGCACTTTTTGGTGCCGAAAAGTGTCCTTAATTAGTCCCTAAACCAGTGGGTACATTTCTATCGTTCACATTATGATACCCGATTTTATATGCAATATTTCTATGCTTTCTTCAGTTCAATTATCTACTAAAGGAATATAACGATCAATATTAGAATAAAATTTATTCATTTTTTATTTATTTTTTTTTTTTTTTTATTTTTTATTAGATTGTAAAAATAATGGCAATTTTTGTATCGTATATTATCGTCTCAGTAACGACATCCTTTAACCCCACATAAACCATCGCAACAGCATGGTAAAAATCCCATCCTTTGGCCTGCCCCGTAATTATCAACTTCATTACAGCAGACACTTCCCACACACAAAAATGTATTTGCCATCCAGGAAGTCGCATTCGAAAAGCCATTGCCCGTTCCATCCATCCTATTGTCAGGGTATAATTATACGGCTAATCTGAATAGACGAGAAGACGTTGGAACATTAAAAACTTCAAGTTAAGACCCGCCCAGGCATTAATAACAATGCAACAAACACACACGCAGCACAGCGAGGAGGGTTAAGCATGGGAAGGCGGGGGTTAAACGTAACAGAGAGAATGGGTTAAGCTAGGGGGAGGAACGGAATGCAGGGGGATGGACAAGTGCACGGGGTGACATTTAACGGTAATTTCCTGCAACGATTTTTGTTTAGCTCAAGTTGCTGCCACATTGCTGCTGCTGCTGTGGCAGATAAGCCTGAAGAAAAAGGTATACGCCCCACCCCCCCCCAACAGTTTGCCTTGGCACTTCCCTAATTACACATGGTATATAAATGTGTTGTCACACGCCCACCCACTGGCGATGGGCTGGGTGGGGCTGGGGCTGGGGCTGGGGGATGGATGCAACACAACTAATTTCACATGCAGCACAAGGCGAGGCATCAAAATCCTGCTAATGTGCCGCTAGCAAAGAACAACTCTCAAAGTGAGGAAAGGACAAGACTGGAGGTCGGGGAAAAACAGGATGAGGAATATATTTATAACGAACTGTTGGATACTCTGGCACATCGAAAAGCAGTGTGGAAACATTTTTGTTTGTCTAATTTTTAGCTTTGACTTACAAAATAAAATTCTTCTGAACGATTCTACACATGATTTTGATGTGCTTTAGTTCTCCGTTAATTCCATTAGCCAGCTGTGCTGCTCTGCAGTTCTGCCGCGCGCTCCAAAATCCGTGGCAAACTTCTGCTAAAAATCATAAATACCCTGTGAAAAGTGTATGCCCAAGACTTACGTACCAATTAAATGAGAATGCAGCCTGAGCTCTGGAGCTGTGTAGCTGTTTAGTTGTGGATCTACAGCCTTGTGGATCCTTGTGTGTTGAGCAGTTAAGGAGCTGGGCACATACACACACAGGCACATCCTTGTGACTGACACCGGAAGCTGTCTGTCTGTCTGTTGACTAACGCCCCGCGGCATACACCGAGAAGTTTTGCGCCCAAAAGACAAGACAAGACAAGACAAGACAAGACACGGCACACAAGAAAGACGCTGTCATAAATATTTATGCGAGTTTTGGGAACAACAACGGGGCGAAGCTGCTCCAAAAACTACACATGCGATTGTCTAAGACAGCCACAGACAGGCAGGAGTCCAACACCCCCCCAACTGCTGCATCCTGCTGCTGCTGCTGCTGCTGCTGCTCCTGCTCCTCCTGCTGCTCCTTATGCAGCTGACAATGAGCAGCAGGATACATTTTGCACCTGCCACACACCGCGCAGCACCCGCGACATGTTTGCTCAGCATCTTTGTGAAGGAGACAGACCATAGAACCTCCTTCCAGCATAGCAGAGCGGAGCAGGGAGCAGCCCTCTAATGGATGGCGTGCAAAAGTTGACACAACACCCGGACCCGGACACGGACACGGACAGAGCCAACAGCTTCGTCCGGGCTTTGCAGCTGCTGCTGCTGCTGCACGGTTGATGCCTCCGCCACTGCAGCTCCCTTGCCTTATGGGGGGGCGGCGGCGTATTTGATGACAGCTAAACCTTGGGGGCCCCCGCTCTCCCACTGGCGCTGTAAAGGGCAAAGTTTTCCTCGCAAGGCGTTTCCAAACGTTTCGTTTTCGTCAACTAATCGGCTACGAAGCTGCCATGATGCCATCCAGCCATCCTGCCATCCTGCCATCATCCTGGCTCATCCTTCTGCTCGGTCGAAGGCGGAGCTCAATGTAAATTCTGTGCGCGTTTTGTATTTAAAATACTTGGGGAAATGAAGCCAAGCCCCCTGCTATGTGACTGTCTCAAGTGTAGGAGGTTTCAGAGCGGTTAATATCCGCATTCGGGACTATATCTGGGATTAAATTGGTTTGTTTTTTGGTGCAGAAGGAGCTCAGAGTGTGCAGCGTCCTGAATGCAAAAGAGTGCAGCTTAACTATGTGATTTTGTGATTTAATGAAGGCATTTTTTTCTGTGCTTATAATTTGCATTAATTAATCTCCAAGAGCTGTAGAGTCAGAGCTATTTTTGGCTGTGTTTTGTTCTTCATCGCAGGAGCTTTGATTTGGGCAACGATTCCTCTGATTCTTAGCTGCCTTTGCAACGTGAATTTTATTTTATATTTCTGAGGAACTTGTGTGGCTTTTCATTTGTACTTTTTCCCAGATTGAAAGGCTTCTCATTTTGCCAGAGCAAAATCTTCTTTCGTTCTGCGATTGCTACGAAAGTTAGTTTGTTCTGTACTTTTTATCTGTGTGCCTTCTACTCAGTTCTCTGCACTATTCTACCCGTTATTCTGCCCTCTGTTATTGCTGGTTCTGTTGCCACACGTATATGAGTTATAATTGGTTTATTTAGCGCCTCTGCCACCTGCCTCAAATTAGCTACAGATCTCCTACTCCGCCTTCTCCTACGGCTCTCCTACTGCTGCCTGCTCTCATTGCAATCCGTTCAATTTACAGGTAATGTTGCCTGGTCGTAGCCCATGAACATATTTCTCGCTCGCCTCGCTCACTCGCTCTCTCGCTCTCTCTCTTTCTCCAGAGCAGAGAGAAAGTGGAAACGTATTAGCGAGACGGACGATTATGGGCCAGAGAAAACTGGAGAACTTACGGAAAGACCTGAGTCTGGGAAATGCATTTGAGCAAATAAAAGTTAATGTTTGGACGAGAAAATACAACTGGGGGGGAAAAGCGCTCGGGAAAAAGAGAGAGAGAGAGAGATAATTCTGTTGTTGTTCCGCTGCTGCTGCTGTTGTTGCATCTAATTCGCTTTGCTTTCTTTCAGCATTATGTTACGGGGGTTCCTGGTGCCATTATCCTGCGGATCCTTCGCCAATAGCAGCAGCAGCACCACCAACAACAAGAGCAATTTACGGCAAACTCCTGCAGGTGAAATGGCATCCTTTTGTCAAGTCTTGCAATATCTGGGCGCAAGAAGGGAGCACTTTCTCCGACTCCTACTCCCCCCACTCCCCTCCCCACTCCCCACTCTTCCTTCATGTCATCCTGTTGTGTGTCTCGCGCTGTCTCGCGTTGTCTCGTTGTCGTCGTTCCTATTCAAACTCCATACAAAGTGACATTTCACATATCAACGACGACGAAGACGACAACGACGACGCCCACTTCTCTCACACTTCGGCCCTTCGCGCCCACACCCCTCCCCCTTTTGGCGATGGCATCATTAGAAATGCATGACAATGTTGTCGTACCTCCAGAACAGCAGCCACGCCCCATAGCCCTTAACTTCACGCCCCACCCACCCAGCGACCACCCAGCACCCACCCAGCTTCCACCCAATCTGTTGTCTGGATGGCGGCTGGGTGGCTGGTGGCCGCGTCGTAACAGGAATTTAGATTAAAGATTGAAACTTTGTTAATGTCGCGCATTATTAAGAAGAATCTTTTTCTTCGCTGAATCCCAAATGAGGCTAAGGAAATTAGTGTCCTCCAAGGATGAGCGCCCCTATTCTGCTGCTTGAGGGAGAAGATATTGGAAATATTTTCGCATTCAGGAAATTGATAAGAAAATGGAACTTACTTATGTGTCAGTACACCCCGTTACAAAAATCAAAGAAATTATGCCTAAATAATCATAAGAAAATTGAGAGAAAAGTTAGCCAAGTAGCACTCAGAATTAGAAAGGAAAATTTATCTAGATATGCCTTGGAAAACTAAAAGAAAATAGACAAAAATGTGCCAAGAAACTCTTGGAGAAAACTATGACAGAATTTCGGGCAAAATGACTAAGAGATGTGTCTCTAAAATTAGAAATAAAACTAAAGCCTAAAGAATATAGTTTATAGATTATAGATTACAGATTATAAAACACATAGCCCTGTTATGGCAAGGTGAACAATTATAAAACACATAGCCCCGTTATGCAAAGGGGAATAATTACGATGGAAACGAAAGGCAGATTTTTGAGAGCTCTTCATCCTGCCACAGTTTCGTTTGTATGAGAATTAAATTCAATCACACGAGCTGCAGCTGCATTAGGACCTTAGTCACAGCAAACTTTGATAGAATTATGGCAACAGTCAGTAAATATTAGAGGCCTCTATATCCACATTTCTAAGGGCTATTTATAAACTACTCCCAAGTAGATCTTTCCTGAGAAATCTTTACAATATCAAAGCTCTTCACCCAATTACTCACACAAAATCCCATCCAATTGACTAATCAACAAACTTTGCTTAATTTAAAGCTATTTTGGCAGTAAAATAAAGCAGAAAGTGCTGCCCCACAACCAAAACAAATTGGAAAATCAATTTTAAATCAAGTCCCATCACCTACTTGCCGCAGATACGTATACACATCCCACTTCAATTGACAACTAATGCCTGTCTTGCCTCATTTAAAGTCCAACGTTGCGCCATTGCCTCTGCTCCACCTACCAAAAACCAACAAAAAAAGACCAACAACTTCTCCATCAGCAACGCCAACGCCAACGCCAAGCGGCTGACTCCAAGCGAGTTCTGTGCTCAGCTGTTTCGATTAATTAGCATCCGTAATTGATGTGCAGAAAAGTTTTTAGCCTACGAGAGAGTTTGCATTTGCATTTGCATTTTGCGGGTCCTTTTGACTGGAACTAGATGGACACAAACGTGAGCATGGCCCCCAAAAACCCTGAGACTGGCACTGAGACTGAGACTGGAGTACAGGCCTGGTCCATGGTCCATGTCATGCCTGTTTCTGGTCAAATGCCTGGGCCTGAGCCTGAGTCTGGGCATGGGTCTGTTCCATGCCCTGTTCTGGTCCGCTGTCCAAGGTTTTTGCTGGATTTGAACGTGCCTCGTGTCGGAGTGAAACGTGACTTTGGTGCGAATTACTTTTGCTTTGATTTAATGTAATTAAAAAATTTCCCAATTCCAAAAGGAGAGAAGAAAAAAACCCGTACAAGGACAGTAGAGATCTACACAAAACGTAGGCCGTACACAGATCTCTTCAACACACAGAAAAGTGATGCAAATCTATGACAGACGACAGACATTCAAGAGACTTAAATTTTCATTTCCATTTTTAATGATTCGCTTTTTGTTTTTTGCAGGAGTTCCCAAAAGCATCACGAGCAGAGCCATGCCTTGAATGTGGAGCGTAGCTATCGCTGTCATGTCGCGGACTGTACATTTGCTGGTGCTACGCAGGTGAGCCTTCGCATCCATTTGGTCTCGCATTCCCAGGGCACATACAAGTGCGAAAGGGACCAATGCAAGTATGTGGGAAAGAGCGAATTGCATTTGAAAAGGTAAGTCAAATTTTTACGAAAATTTAACTTTAAATATAAGTTTAATTTTGGATTAATGTTGCTGGGAAAATATCCTAAGAATTTATGAAAATAACGACCTAAGACCAGAGAAAAAATTACACTTAAAACATACTGTATTTGTATCCAGAAAAGAAAGCTTTTTCACTCACATATTTTGACATTAATATGAAATTATTTTAAAATACAATAAATGAAAATCTTCATATTAACTATGAAATATATTTACATATTTAAAATATGTAAATAATTAATTTTAATTAATTAATATGTAAATATATTTCATATTTTAAATATGTACATATGTAAATATATTTAATAATTAATATAAAGATTTTCATTTATTTTAAAATGTTTTATATTTGGATTTAATATAGTTCATCTAAAAATACTTTCTTATACATTTTTTTTTTTATCAAAAACAATTCTATTTAATTTAAATATGGGCTTGTCTTGTTTACTCGTATACTGTTTTTATCTGAGTGTGCTGCAACCTTTTTTTCCACAAGAGCAGGCATCTGTTTTTGAAAGCTTTGACAATATCGTTTTTGATTTTTGAATTATCTATCTTCTACCATCCACCTAATACTCGCCCTTAAGAACCATTTTATGAAGAAAATTATCGTTAAAAAAAATAAATATTATTTAATATATATAATAATAAATAAATAAAAAATAAATAAAAATAAATAAAATAAACAAATAAAAACATAATAATATATAATATAAATATTATTATTATTTATTAATTTTATTTATATAAATTAAATTTTTAATAATAATATTTATATATTATTATTATTTTTATTTGTTTATTTTATTTATTTTTATTTATTTTTTGTTTATTTATATATTATATATATAATATTTATTTTTATTTAAATAAATATTAGTTTTAGGACTGAAACTCAAAGATATGACCTCCCAAAATAAGGCTCCAAATGGGGACTTACCAAGTTACTTATTGTTTGTTGTATTTTCTAGGGATTAAACTTTCAGTCTGTCATTGTCAGTTTTAATTACCTTAATCCAATGGAAATATGACCCCAAAAATAGTCCAAGTCCATGGGGGCTTGTCCAATACCCCTTGTAAGAAGGTATTATGGCACATTTTGCACCAAATGTATTTCCATTCAATTACTTGGCAATTCATTACACTCTCTAACACACACACACACACAATTCCGCTGAATTTCGTTTTGGCTTATGGGGCGGGGTCCAGCAGCTCCACTGACAATGTTGCAGCCCTATTACTAATCTACAAAATGCTAATCAGGACTTACAAAGAAAGAAAACGCAGACCCAAGGCAGCCAAAAGACAATTGCAGCTAACAAAATAAACGAGCGACATTTTCTACACGAATTTGAATTTCTTAAATAAAACAACAAAAAAAAAACAAGCAAAAAGAGAGAAAAAAGAGCAGCCAACAAGAGCAAAAATGTCATCCATAATTGCAGACTTTGAACGGCAATTGCATAAATTGATGAAAACAACAAGCGGCAGGCAGGCAGCAAGCAGGCAGCAGGCAGCCAGTCCGAGTCCCAGTCCGAGTCCCCATGCCCAGTTGCAGTCAGAGTCGCAATCGAAGAGTCCATGGGGCGGGCAGTCCACCAGCGACAGAGCTTGCCCCAATGGACGTGGCATGTAGTGGTAGTGGTAGGGAGTGGGAGCAGTCGTTCGAAGAGTCGTCCCCAAACAGAATCGTGACTTATCGATCGCCTTTGATATGCGCATTGAATTCTTGTAATATTTCCAATGCTGCTCTCCGAATCCCGACGATCAGTTCAGGGCCAAATTGCCGGCAATATGGGTAGTGCCACTGTGTGTTGGCTGCAGCAGCAAGCAGCCAGCAGCAGCCACTGTGCTGCAGCTGTCCGCCCCAAGAGAACAACAACCACAACCACAAAAAAAAGAAGCAAGAAGCAAAGAGTTGAATACACAGTTGTAAGTGGCATTGGGTCTGGCAGACTGGACGTGGAGGATCGTCGTAGTCGTCGTCGTCGTCGTCTTCCTCGTCGTTTGGTCGTTTCGATCGGCTTTGATGGGGACGACATTTGGCTTCTTTTGTACTCTGCCGTGCAGCAGACAGCAGATTTGAATGTTGGCTGGATATAATGGTTAATACCCTTGATCACCTTAACCTTTGGCTTGACGATTCAATGGCTGGATTAAACGTCAACATTTCATAGTTGAATGCAGAAACGGAATTGTCATAGAAAGATATTTGCATTCTGATTGATCTGCTCCCAAAGATTTCCTTGAATTTTGATTACGCTGCTGCCCGCCTATCTGCCCCGAAAAGTTAATGAATTCATTCAAAGAATACCCACAAAATGTGGTGCCTCATTAAAAATACGCAACAGCTTTTGACCTCAACCCAAAAAGCCAAAAACACAAAAAACCAAAAAACAGGGCTTGCATAAATCTTCTACAGATTCAGAGAGACACACAGAGAGAGAGAGAGAGAGAGACAGAGACAGAGAGAGAGAGAGAGAGAGTGCCTCTGTGTGATGCGCTTAACTGCCTTTGGAGATCTTCAATTAGCTATCAAAAGGTTGGCCCCGCTGCTGATCCAGGAATTTCAAAGCGCAGCCAAAAAGGCATCTCTCGGCCTCGTTTCGTTTCGTTTCGTTTCGGCGGCATTCAACACACAGAGTGAGAGAGAGAGTGGAGCCTACAGGGAAAAACTCCTACAACTTCTGGCTGGAGGCTGCGGCTGCTCCTCCTGGAAGCTCCATTACTTGCCGCTAATTAAGCCTACCGCGAGTCGCGCATGAGTCGCCTTCCCTACGCTCTGTTTCTCTTCAAGTTTTTGTCTGTTTATTCGAAGCTTGAGATTTCACACAGATTCCAATACCGAAAGCAACAAAACAAAAACAAAAACAAAACATTGGCAATTAATTGTGAGTCCTCGGTTTGGACAGTAGCTGATAAGTCGAGTGGACACACAACACACACACACACACACAACACAGGAGGAGCAACTGGAGGAGCCTACAACAGTCCTACAGTTGGCTTGGTGCAGCATTGGGGCATAATTGAAGGCGCGTAACTGAAGTCGTGTGAGTGAGGCTGTGCCTCCTGGGACTCTAAAATGGGGCATATTGGTTAAGGCACATGGCAGGGAGGAAGGCAAATTCAACAAAGAGGCACAGAGAAAGAATTCTAAAGCTTCAGAGACCCCTTCCAGAAGCTCCATCAAAGACAACATTTGAAGAGAACTTTCAAAATAAACACTGGAAAAATCGTGTACCATAGAAAAGTACTATGCGGCCGTTACTCTTGCCTGCAGACGTTTCCCTGTTCTTTCAACGTCTTCTTAGAAGCGCTGCACACGTGCGAAGAGAAATGCTACCGCGTAGCTCATCAGCACAGTCGTGTACGACCCATTCGCCCATTTCCCAATATTTGTTTCCCGCTCTTTTAACCGAAAAAAACAAAACAAAAAAAAACTGATCGCCATCTAAGCCCAGTCCGGATTGGCGGCTGCTGCTGCTGCTGTTGCTGCTGTTGCTTTAGCGGCTCCTGCCTGGCCGAAAGGCAATTGCCAATTGCCAACTTACTCGTATTTTGATTTCGAGCGTGCGATTCGAATGCGAAATTAGCAATTAGTTCTGACTGCGGTGGCGGTACAAGCCGCCACTGGAATTTACTGCCTAATCAAGCGTTGAGATTTTAAATATGGCTTTGCTTTTACATTCTCTCCTTCTCTCTCTCTCTCTCTCTCCTTCTTTCTCTCCGTTTTAGGCACCTCAAGTCGGTCCATGGCAAGGAGCAGATCAAGTGGTATCCCTGCGATCAGTGCGAGTTCAGGGGCCGCAACAAGGAAAAACTTCGACGGCACTCCATCAGTCACTCGGGCGAGAAGCGCCACAAGTGTCCCCACTGCAGTTTCCGTTGCAAAAACATCGACAATCTACGCAAACACGTGATGAAAACGCGCAAGCATCCAGGCAAATTCATGTACGAATGCAAAAAGTGCTCGGAACAGAAATCGAAGGAGATTTACAAGACCAACAGCTACCAGGAATATCAGAGACATTTGGCCACACATGAAAAGAAATAAGGTGCGTTTTCAATTCATAAATTTCGTATGTCAAAAAACAATTTGTACAGGAGAAAGTTTTTTTTAACTATTCAGCTTAGAATGAAAAAATCGTGGTAGGAATTTAAAAAAAAAAAACTACGATCTCTAGAGATTTAATTTTTCGGCTACTTTTTTCGAAGTTCATACGATACTTTCGCGCGCTATGTTTTTATGGGCTTAGACGCAACAAATGTACATACGATAATCGATAATAATGATAATATAATATTATATAATATAATAATATATAATATAATATTTATTGTACAAAATAGTTCTTTCACAGCCTCATTTATCAGCAGCTAGATCAATGAATTAATAAATTAATTAATTCATTAATAAAAAACCAACGACCAAAATTGAAAAAATAAAAACACACACAAGGGAGCCACAATAAATCTCTATAGATTTTTTTCCTCGAGAGATTTTGTCAAGTCAATCGAAAAACCCGCATCGGGATCTCTAGAGATTTAATTTGTCGGCTACTTTTTTCGAAGTTCACACGCAACAATGAGAAAAGTAGCACAGTTGCACATAAGTTGTGAGCAATTTCAAAACAAAACTTGATTTTATTTGACGGCTCAATTATAATGTTTAATAACAGCCCTGAAAAACATTTTTTTGTGCGATTGTCTGTAACTAGCAAACGTCAATTGTTTGCATTATAAATTGAAGAAATACAAGAATAAAGAGTTTAGCGAAGAATGCTTCGAATGACATCAGAACCGTTGGCCACTTCTGACTTCACTTTGGTTTTAGCTTTTACATTTAAACAAATGCTTGTAATGTAATTATCGTGTGGATAAGGAGATTTGTATGATGATTTTTAATTTGATTAACGGAGACATCCCAGTATTATCCATTTCACCAATCCTCCTGCAGTTGGCCACTGTGCTACATGTTGCATCCTTTCAATTCATTGGGACAAGAATTTGGCCCTTTCTAGACAATCCATGGGCAAATTAAGTGAGTAAAGTTTGTCCATTTGTTGGGCCAGTCATCACATAGCATTTCTAACCCGAATGCCCACTTCTATGAAAAGTAATATTTTTCATTTAGACAATAACACACTTGGCGCTGCACCTAATTTAAATAATTAGAGCGGCAGTATCTTCATTAATTACACACTTATTTTTCAACGGCTGGCAATTTAAATGATGTAAACTTAGTCTTTTTTCTCTTTAATTTAAAACCATTAAATGCAAAATTTCATTCGAATTTAGCACTCCAACAAAATTAAAATGGTGAGAAAAACTAGGTGGACAGAATTTTCTTTGGACGCTGATACCGGATGGAAACTCTACTTGAGATTTGACTAGACTAAAATGTAAAAAAGGGACCAAAACAAGTGAGCAGAAAAATAAAATAAAATTTAAAATTAGTTTTTATCGGAATTAAAGCGTTTTCATTAAAACAATATTTTGCAGGATGGTGCGACATAAGTTTTCTAACTAGGTCCTAAAATCTCAATTTCGTTAAAAAATGACATACGATACTTTCGTAGAAATATCAAATAAAAAAATATAATTATGCATCGGCCGGGAATCGAACCCGGGCCGCCCGCGTGGCAGGCGAGCATTCTACCACTGAACCACCGATGCTTCATATTTTATGGCGTCAGAATGCTCCTTGATTAAGTTAAGGTTTCATTATACATAATGCCAAAAATTAACCTATCGAGACTATATAAATCTTTGACTTTCTGATAGGTTCTTGTGTTTGATAAGATTATAATAAAGCTGGAAATATATGGTATTATTGATCTTTTTGGAATAAATAAAAAAAGAAGGGTTGCATCGGCCGGGAATCGAGCAGATTCCCACTAGATATTCCTAAAATATAGCAATCCAAAAAATGTAATGCTGCATCGGCCGGGAATCGAACCCGGGCCGCCCGCGTGGCAGGCGAGCATTCTACCACTGAACCACCGATGCTTCGGTGTCTTCCGCTTCATAACTTTCGATCTTGAACTTAATATTGAACTTAATATTTTTCTTATAGGTACTCTAAAGGCTCTCGAAATTTGTCTAATATTAGCATAATCAACTCTTACAGATAGTATATTCAGTGGCTATTATTGTCATCTTAAAGGCCTTTAAATATTATTAGCTGCCGTTTTCCCAATACTTTCCACATTCCACTTATGAACCAGTAATTCTTGGGTGTCCTTTGCTTTCAAATTCTAGAATCTAGATATTGAAGTTCTTTTTCCTATTCTGCTAAAAGCTTAGTCGAAGAATGGATCTCAAAATAAATAGCTCACAAATTTTAAGTTAAACTTCTATTTAATCTTAAAAAATTTAATATATATATATATATATTCTATGAAACCCTCAAAATTATAGCAGATCCTTACTTGATCTTCGTAGAATATAAATTCCAAAAAAAAATTATTGCTGCATCGGCCGGGAATCGAACCCGGGCCGCCCGCGTGGCAGGCGAGCATTCTACCACTGAACCACCGATGCTTGTTGTCAACTCTGAACCCCAAACTTTACATCTGTTGAGGTGGGGTAAGGGGTTCCATGTACTCTTCCCAGCAAAGATTTATTCACTCAAATCAATAATAACCATGGGGACTATTGTTCATTCGGTAATGTATTCTCTTTGAAACAGAATTCTGTTATATTAAAATTAAGCCGACATTCAGATTTAAGTATCAGGATTATAATTACAGTTTTCTTTATAGAATATCTAAGATTCTATCTAAATGAAATTATCAAATTCTATTTTCAGATTTCTCGTTTTATTCAACTCTGAATTTCTTCAATGTGTGTGTGTGTGTGTGAAATGTCATCAATGTCATCGGAGCGAAGCGTGAATTTTGTGTGTCTTGTAAGTGTTTAGTTTTCGTATGTAGTGTGGTTTTACTGTAGCTGCTGCTGCTGCAAACGAGCGGACGATCGTTAGTTGTCGAATTAAAGAATTGTTTGTGAAAGATTAACAGAAATTATAGCTAAGGAAATGAATGAATTTCGCGCAGCACAGAAACAGTAAATTGAATACAAAAAGCAGCCCCAAAATCCAATCCAGTGTAGGATCTAGCTCTAGCTCCTCTAGGCCTCTTTGCTTATAAAGAATCGGCAATGTTGGTGCCAAAGCCAAAGGTCTGCTTGATGCTATGCCAGTAGTATCGATGCCAATTGGTTTTCATGGCATCGTACTCGGAGGCGGGAATGCCGGTCTGCTTGAGCGTCATCACGGTGCTGGAAGACTGCAAATGGAAACGGGTAGGGAATAAATGTAAATAGTACACCGATATGAATGCTATAGCTGTTGTGTCTCGAACTTACAGTCTCCTCTAGCTCTATGAGCACGTTCGAGTAGTGACCAGAGGACCAGTTTTTCAGACGCCAGCTCTGCTGTATCTTCTTCTCCGGAATGAGCTCCTCGAATTTACCCAACACATTGCCGCCATAGAGAACAAATCTGCACAGAAAGGGAGCAAGGAAACCCATCAGGTAAGTACAGCAACAAACGCTTGAGTAGCATGAGAAAGACTCACTCTCCACCGCGCACTGGATCCACTTTGGCGGGTGCCCGTGTAAAGGCCGTTACCATATCGGGCTTGGTGAGGGCATTGTACAGATCATTGGCCTGGCAGTGGAACTCCTCGGACATCGTGAGCGTGCGCACATCCAGCTTGCAGCCCGGGCCCTTCGAGTCCGGGCCCTTGGCTGTGGTGGTCACGGCAGCGGCCGCTGCCGCAGCTGCTGCCTTTTGGGCCGCATTCTTGGCGTTGTTGGCATCCTTGAGGCTGGCACTGTTGTTGCCGTTGCCACCCTCCTCGCCCTTCTTTGGTAGTATCAAGTTCTTGGAGTACTCCTCCTTCAGCTCCTTGATGTAGACGCCCAGCTGCTTGCGAATGCTGTCGCGGCCGACATTGTACATGAATTGCTTGAGGGTCTCCGACTCGTCGTTGGACTCATCGATGGTCACCGTGATCTCCACATCCTCCAGATCGTTCTCCTCCGACAGATTCGGTATGGTGAGCTTGCCCTTGTGCGACAGTTTGCTGTTCTTTAGCAGCTGGCCGGACCACTTCAGAACCAGCTCCCACTCGTAGAAGAATATCAGCTTGCCCTTGCGATTGTTGACGGTCGCCTCGCCCTGGCACTTGTCCACTGCCTCGACCACGCACTCGGTGTCGCTTTGGTCTACAATCGAAACACAAAACACAACACACACACACAAAGCAGCCACACGGGCCAGAGGGTTTTAGGTTAGGAATTGTTGCAATGCGTAAAGACGGGATGACTTGCCTATTTTAAAGTCCTTGAACAGCTGATGCAATCTCTCCTTGGACCAGGGCGTTGCATTCTTTTCCGTCCAGTGCCAGTTGTTCACATTGGTGGCGTCGGGACGCTCCTCAACAATCCAACGAGGATCTCCTTCTCCCCATTTGGCCATCGTTGATGCTTCGGCGATTTGCTGCTGCTGGCTGCTGCTGTATGAAAGTGCAATGGAATTGGCCCGTCCCTGGATCCGGCAATGGTTTCGGTGGCTTCGCTAACGTTGTTTATTGGCGCTCGTTTCGGCTCGGCTCTGTGGCAAGTCGAAATTTCCAGAAATATTCTGTTCAAAAAAAAAGTACAAAATTATCGATGCACATATGTTGGCAAAGTTGCCACCTGGTGAAAGTTTCGTCGTCGGCCCGATAAAATAGTTAAATCAAAAATATATTTATCAATTTACGATTTGCCTGTAGTAAATGCTTATCATTTGAGCTGCTTTTCTCACAGAATTGTTTATTTCAACATTCAATTTGACATTATTCGACGACGCAAACTAGCTTTTGTCAGTCAGCAAATGCATATCGATAGGACGTTATAAAAAACATGTGTTGTGGAGCGCGCTGCCACGCAGTTGCTTTCTCTTCAGCCCTGCGATACATCGATGGCCGAGTGAGATATCGGTAGTATTCCATCCCTGAAAGAAAATGGCGATAGAATTTTTTGGTGTTGACTTTTTGTTTATTATCAACTCAGTGTGATTAATCAATGAAAATTATAGGAAACTCGAATAACTTTAGTCAAATTATGTTTAAATAGTGCGCTGCCGTGCTTCTCAGTGTGCGTGATTATTGTGGACCGGACCGCCACAATGATTAGTGCCATGGACAATTTCGACAACAGATCGTATGGGGCCGTTTCAAAGGGGCGCAGTGAATTCTCGATGCCAGGTAAACGAAAGCAAAACGAAAGCAAAGCAAAAGCAAAGCCAAGTGCCCAGAATCCCAGTCCCGTCCCCCCAGTGCGCGGATTATCCTTAATCCTCAGTATTCGCGTGAAATTGTGTGAAATAAGTGGGAAAAATGCCTTCACAGAATGCAATGAAAATGGAATGGGGCGAGTCCCGTACTAAAAATTTAATGAAGCAACAAGCAATCTACGTGTGCGTGTTTCTGTGTGTTTGTGTCTCCCTCTCTCTGCATGTGTATGCGTGTGTTCTCATTTACGCTGGCCTTCAATTGAATTAATAAATAAATAATCCCCCCGAATGCTAAATTATAGCTAATAAGTCAATTTACACAGTTAGTCGCCCACTGTGCGTGAATGAAGAGGAGCAACAAAAAAAAAGTTTATTGATTGAACGGAGCAGAGTTCTACGTCACTGGCCGCCCCATTCGCCATCTCGCTTCTGCGCAGGCAGGCATCAGATGCGTGCGTTCGTTCGTTTTTGTGTGTGTGTGTGTGTGGGTGCGTGCTGCTGGAATTTGTTTGTTGTTGTTGTTGCTGTTGCTGCTGCTGCTGCTGCTACGCTTCTGCTGCGTTCCAATTAACCAAAAAAGTGTCCCGTCTCTTTCTTTTGTTGCAGAACTAACGCCAGAGCAGCATAAGCTACTGATAGAGCTGCGCCGCAAGAAGCAGGAACTTTTATTGGAAATACAGGTGAGTGGACAAACAGTGGTGCCCAAAAATATTAGCTCGAAAGAAGCTAAAATGTGTAGCTAAGAAAATGGAATGCCCATATCCCATTATTTATGTGTGCCAGATAGCTCTGTGTCTTCTCTTTATGGTTTTATTACTTACAGCGCTGCATTTTCTAGCTTGTTTTCGGCTAGATTGTTACAGCTGACCGATCAGCACTGTCGGCCGGCCTATTCGTTTTCCTCTTTAGCCCCCTCTATGCTGATTGCTGATTCATTTGTGCAAAGCCTTCACCTCTCCATGCAAATGTCAAGCCTCTCTCATCTTCTCCGGGCACCTGCCGCCTCTCCATATTCTTCCTCTTCCAGTTGTTCTCTCTTTGCCCGATCCCGTTCTTCCGCACAAAGCTAATTAGTTTGTTCACATTTAGCTTTGTGCAATTTGCTTTGAATACACATTTTTTATTGTTGTAAATTTATTTGATAGTCTTTAATGGCTTTTAGCTCGTCTTCGTTTTTATGCCCGTCTTGACATTTCCTCATTGGCATTCTTCTGGTCACACAAAGCAGTAAAGGCAAAACAATGCAGTAAAAATACATAGTGCCGTTATCGGTGGAGTGTGCCGGCCCGTCGATGTCCGCTGTCGTCGCTGTCGCTGTCGCGAAGCTCATCTTTGAACTTTTTGGGTTGACATTTGTTTTATGGCTATTTTTGCCATTTGCGCTTTGTCTTTGTATTTGATTTGGCGCTCGCCAATAACAACGTGGGAGCCGTCGCCGCTCTCTGATTTCGAAGCCTGAGAAAAAGTAACTGTAAATGCAGAGACACACCGATGCTCAGGGGCGTAGTCGAGGGGGAATAGTTGGGCTCCCAATTGATGTATAAAAAGAACAAAAGCAGCAGGCCACTACATAAAACGGAACCGCCAAGATCGGATCGGTTTTTTAGTACCTTTACCACATCTGCAAGGGATTCCAAGAGTGCTTATCGCTGTCGTGCTCAACATCTTTTATAGTTTTATCCCTCCCATATGCAGCCGGCCCTGTCTCTCTCTCTGTCTGTCTGTCTGTCTGTTTACCTGCTCTTGAGTAAACTGCGCTCCTGTGCGTGAAACGCATGCAAAATGCAGTCGCGTCCCGTCCCACTCTCATAACTCATATCTCGCGACCCATTTTCTGCGCTTAGTCATCAATGACGTTTCGCGGGACGCTCGTCGATCGTCTGTCCGTAACAATCTCCATACAATCCAACCCACGCTGAGCGTTCAAGTTGGTGCCCCGTAACGACTGTAAAATTGTTATTATTTTTGTTTGCTAAATAATTATTATTTCCCAACGTGTATGTGTGTGTGTGTGTATGTCGTGTCTGTGAAAGAACGTGAGCAAAGACCCAAAAAGTGTTATTTTTTGTTCCTCCTATCCACCCATACGTTTGCTGTTGTTGTTTTTTTTTCCGCCGCTGCTGCTGCTGTGCCATGTACAAGTTTCTATACCGTAGGATTATAAACAAAAGCAAAATCAAGGTGAGTGAATAAGTGCGCTGCCAGGTGACTCAGTTAATGATAAGACTGTTTTTATGTGGGTTATCGCTAAAGATAGAGCAGTGAAAATGCCATTTTATGAATGAAATATAGCAAATAATTGTTGAGAAGGTTAAGAAAGCAGCTTGATTGGAATCTTATCAAACTGATAACGAACATCCGCAAAGCCCGCATGTGTGTGTTCCAATGGCTGATAGTGTGGAGTGCCTTTAATTAGGTCTAGGACTGTGATGTAGCGTATAAATATGCAGTTATTTTTGGATGAGTTTCGCTGTTAAAGTTTTAAGCAAATACCGCTAATCCTCCTCTATTGCCATGCCCTGGCCCTTTGCATATTTTCCACAAAATTTTAGACGATTCCGCAAAAATGTTCGCCACGGTTTATTACGCACAATTTGGGTTTTATTGCCGGGGGTCGGGGCCCAGTACGAGAGTATATTATTTCTACCTGGCGGAGCAATTGACACCTCATCTGGGCCTAGGCAACCTCTATAATTCCCTCCCTACCCAAATCTCTCTCTCTCTCTCTCTGTGTGCGCCCTTTACCACAATGCATAAATTACTGCCTGGCCTGCGTGCGCGCTCTCCTCTATTTGTTTTGCTCTCCTGGTTTCTGGTGTGGTGGTTTTTGTTTCAATTTTTCGGCAATTAGCTGAGTTCAGCTTTCGGGTTAAGTTGGGTCAAGTTTTTTGGGTTGGCTTTTGTTTGCAGCGGCCATAAATTAGAGACTGACAAGAGGAGGATAAAATACTAACCCCCAGGCATCGCATCCCTTGCTTGTGTTGCCAGAGTACTTTTCTGTCGATTTTCCTTTGATATTTCTAGCGAAAATTAATCTCAATTGATCAGGAAGATTCTTTTGATTACAAAATGGGAATTGTATGCCTAAATTGACAGATATATTCGACTTAAAACACGTATCATTTATTTAATTTATATATATTTATTTATATTTATTATATTTATATTTATTTAACTACAGCCAATAAATGGCAATTTGCTGTACTGCCCAAAAGTATGCTACACTCTTTGGCTCAGTCATAATTCATGTAAAATACATGTGTATCCGGGCCCGGACATGGAATTTTTCCCAATTGAACAAATTCAACAAAAAATAATTTTAATTAAGATTTAAATAGAAACAGTGGCGGGTAAGGAATACATATTGGCCCACCCATTGCAGAAAGTAGTCGAGAATTTATGTGCCCTTTATGGGAAATTCTTGTGCTTATTTATCAGCTGTACATACATATTTTTTCTTTCTATTGCAATTACAAAGAAAAATGATTTCAAGGCTCCTGGGGCTGGCATAAATAGATAACATTAATTCCTTTGCCACTATCTCTCCTATATGAAATTCCTAGAAATACCTTCAGATATGTCCATGCTACCATTTTTGTAGCTCAAGAATTATGTACATACCATCCGGCCTGTGCCACAAACGCACAAAGCCAATATCAAATATTTGTATTAAATTGAATGATTCATTGCTGACGTACAGACTTCGCGGCTATCATCGGAACTGCTTATGCTATGTGGAGACTTTTTTTGGGGGACCGACCCTTGTGCGGCGATTAGTTGCGCCGGCATAGAGAATTCTCTTGTATTTAGGCATTTATTGCGATTTCATTTCAATTCATCCATCCATCCATCCATCGCACATTTCTCTAGCCAATTCATTCGCTTTGCCGCACCACTGATAAGGCATCCATTCAGCGCGTGGTTTGGGGGTTCTCTTACTGTACGCTCTCTCCTCTTATCTGCTCTTCTTCTTTGGGGCCCACGAGTCACGCTCTCCCATGATGATGGGGACAGCTGTGAGGGTTTTTTTTTTTTTTTATTTCTGTTTGCTAAAATATACAACTTTTGGATAACAAACAAACACACAATCAAAAAAATGTTCCGTTGAACTTTCGCCATTTTTTTTGTTCTTAGCAGTTTCCTCTTTAGCGTTCTGCTTCTCCTCCCTCATTCTTTTTGATCGTTATTTGCTGCTGCTGCTGCTGCTGATGGCTGCTGCTGTTTATTGTTGTTTGCTTTTGTAAGATTGTGTCGACGGGTTTAGTCATCTGATCCGTTAATGTCACCCTCCTCTCTCTAGATCTCTCTCTCTCTCTCTCTCTCTCTCTCTGTGAACCTGTCTTGGAATCTCTTTTGCTCTTTATTGGAAACACTTTTCTTTCAATTTGCAAGTTTGC